ATTTTATTGGAGTTGTTAATGAAAACTTACCTAGCCAGTGCATGATAGAAGGGGAATCCAACCATGTACAAAGAAAAAACATAGTCTGCCAATAAATCTGAGATAATACCTGTGACTAACATTGTATTATACCAGTGAGACCAAAAATCAAAATATGGGATTTCAAAGTCTTGTATTAAACAATGAATATTCATAAAATAAATATTTTTAATAACTTAGTATGTGCTAGGTGATGTGTTTTTCTTTTCTTTTTTTTTTTGAACTGGAGTCCCACTCCATTGCCCAGACTGGAGTATAGTGGCATGCTCCCGGCCACCACAGCCTCAACCTGCTGGGCTCCCACCATCCTTCCACCTCAGCCTTCCAAGTAGCCAGAACTACAGGCGCACGCTACCACACCTGGCTAGTTTTTTTTTTTTATTGTAGAAGACAAGTTCTCGCCAAGTTGCCCAGGTGGGTCTCGAACCCGCAGGCTCAGGCAATTCACTCGCCTCGGCCTCCCACAGTGCTGGGATTACAGGCTGAGCCACCAAGCCTGGCCAAGTCTTTTTTTTTTTTTTTAAATCAGAGTCTCATTCTGTGGCCCACGCTGGGTGCAGTGGCATGCACACAGCCACCACAGTCTCGACTTGCTGAGCTCAGGCAGTCCTTCCACCTCAGCTTTCCAAGTAGCTGGAACTACAGGCATGTGCCACCACACCCGGTTGATTTTTTGATTTACTGTAAAGATGAAGTCTCGCCAACTTGCCCAGGCTGGTCTTGAACCCCTGGGCTCAGGCAATCCTGTCACCTCTGCCTCACAAGTTCTGGGATTACAGGTGTGAGCCACCATGCCTGACCTTTTTTTCTTTTTAACTGTTTCAACCAATTATTTCTATTGCAATAAAACTGACAATGTAGCATCTTGAGACAGGGGTGAGAAAATTTAATAAAATATGAAAAGGAAATGGTTAAAATTGCTTCCCTAAAATTGTTCTCTAGTACTGCAGATCAACAAGGATGATGTAACTGCCCTCCACTGTAAAGTAGTATGCCTTATCCAGAATGGAAGTTTCAAGGAAGCCTTGAATGTTATCAATACTCACACCAAAGTGTTAGCCAAGTAAGTGATTCAGTTAATTGTGAGTTATTAGAAAAACTTTTGCTGTTACTATAATCTCTTCCATTTTTTTTCCTTCACTATTCACTGAGATTTTTTTAACCTTTCTTTTTTGTTTGTCAGTAGTGTTTCTACGAGTGGAATTAGTACTATTACTACACTTTTGGTTGTTGTGTTTGGGTTTTTTGTTGTTGTCGTTGTTGTTGCTTTTTTTTTTGGACTTTTTTTAAACCCCTGTTTCCCTTTGGATTACTAAGAAGGAGGTAAGCCATGGAAGGATGTAAAACATAAATATAAGAAGTCCTTGGATGGTACAGGGAGAACAAGTCAGTAGAAGTGGATTTTTTTTTTTTTTTTTTTTTTTTTTTTTGTGTTGGAGTCTCACTCCGTCCCCCAGGCTGGAATGCATGCAGTGGCACACTCACGGCCACCTCATCATCGACCTGCTGGGTGCTGGTGATCCTTCTGCCTCAACCTTTCAAGTAGCTGTAACTGCAGGTATGCGCTACCATGCCCAACTAGTTTTTGATTTATTGTAGAGACAAGGTCTCACCAAGTTGCCTGGGCTGGTCTCGAACCCATGGGCTCAGCCAATCCACTCACCTCGGCCTCTCAAAGTGCTGGCATTACAGGCTGAGCCACCGAGCCTGAGCGAATTTTTTTTAAAAAGGCACAGAGGGCAGAACATGTAGGGTAGGGATGTATAAGTGTGTAATATGTAGGCGTCTAAGTTGATAGATGTCTCTTAGATGATATGGCTATCATACCCTGACCCCTGTGCCAGGCTCCACTGGAAATTGTTCATGAGAGTGTGGTTTTAGGCTGAGATCATTCAGTGTCAGAGTCCTTTAACAGTTTCTAGAGCATATAGCATTTTTCAAAACTTATCTTTTTATTTATCATTTCATGAAATGTGAACTTATTTCTGAATTGTTTCTGTAACTTGATTTTTATTTTTTTTACTGTCATACCTTGACCCCAAAAGAAGTTTGTTTTGAAATTAAGTTTGTAGACCAGGCGTGGTGGCTCATGCCTATAATCCCAGCACTTTGGGAGATGGAGGCGAAGGGATTGCCTGAGCCCATGGATTCAAGACCAGCCTGGGCAACTTGGCAAGGCCTTGTCTCTAAAATAAACCAAAAAATTAGCTTGGCGTTGTGGCATACACCTGTAGTTCCAGCTACTTGGAAGGCTATGGTGGAAGGATCGCCTGAGCTCAGCAGGTCAAGGCAGCGGTGGCCATGAGTGTGCCACTGCCCTCCAGCCTGGGTAACAGAGTGAGACTCCTACTCCAAAAAAAGGAAAAAAAATTGAGTTTGCAGGATATTTATTCTTTAATGTGATACTGGCTTATAAGGTGAAAACAGTATATAGTATACTTTCTTTGTAAGAGAAAAAATGGTAGACGAATTTAAATATGTATTTATCTATATTTGCAAAAACAGAAGGAGAGAAACAATGAATAAAAGTTGTCACTTGTAGAGAGTGAGTAGGAACACATTAGATTTGAATAGCAGTGGGAATAAAGCATCTTAGTGTATGTCATTCTGTTTGTATATTTGAGCTATATAGATGTATTATGACTAAAAACTAATCTTAAAACTTTATTAAGAATAAAAGGCAGCCAGGTGTGGTGGCTTACACCTGTCATCCCAGCACGTTGGGAGGCGGAGGTGAGAGGATTTCCTGAGCCCAGGGCTTCAAGACCACCCTGGGCAACATGGGAAGAAGACCTCGTCTCTACAATAAATCAAAAAATTAGCCTTACGTGGCAGTGTACACCTGTAGTTCCAGCTACTTGGAAGGCTGAGGCAGAAAGATTGTCTGAGCCCAGCAGGTTGAGGCTACAGTGGCCATGAGCATGCCACTGCTCTCCAGCTTGGGCAACAAGAGTGAGACTCTGACTCAAAAAAAGAATAAGAGAAAAGTAAGGGAGACCCTTTATTCTACTGTTAAATATGTTCATATAAGATTAACTGTTTTGAATTTTGATCATTTTGTGAAATAAGGGAAATTTTCAAAAAATTGTCTTTGATAATTCTTGAATAAGAATATTTTAAAAACTTCTTGTTAGGTAAGTAAATAAAGGATGTTTGCCATTTGCTTTGATAAATATTTTTTCTCATGTGTTATGGTTGAAACTACAAAATGAGGTATCACAGAAATGTAGATGAATATTTAAGCGTGTGTATGTAAGCAGTATAGTTGTATTTACCAATGGCTTGATTGCAGGTACTGTGTTCTTTTACGATTTCTAGTTATTTTTTCTTTGCTAATCATTTGTTTCTTAAACAAGTTAAAAGAAGCATTATGGCTTATTATTTTATTAGTGGATTTAAGAAATTTCTAAAATAACCCATTTAAAACAGTGTTCAAATTGTCTTCGTATCTAAGACAATTATTTATTTAACTGATTGATGATTTCCTACTTGAATGTTTGTTTCAAGAGGTCAGTAATTCTAAGAAGAATAGCCATGAAGCAGAGGCTAGGGAAATAGATATAATATATTCTGCCATGTGTGAGCTATCTGATCATTGGAAAAGTCACTAGCCTTTGTCAATCTTCCATCTGTTGTTATGAGGATTAAATAAATTAATATGTGAAGTGCTTACAGCAGTGTCTGGCATATATAGTGGGTGCTCTGCATTGTTAGATAATAATCAGACATTGATTTTTTTCCTTCTTCAGTAACTCTCTCTCCTTTGAGAAGGCATATTGCGAATATAGGCTGAACAGAATTGAGAATGCCTTGAAGACAATAGAAAGTGCCAACCAGCAGACAGACAAACTGAAGGAGCTTTATGGACAAGTGGTAATTACTGCTTTAAAATACCTGTTGACAGTCATCCTGAGTGAGCAAGACTTTACCTCTAGCAAGGAGCAGGGATGAGGAAACCCAGCCCATCCTGATACTCCACAAAATTGGCCACCAAACCAGTTCTTGAGGATTGAACATATTCCCTCTTTTTGATCTTCATATGAACAGTCGCATGTGTAGAGTTCAATGAACAAATGACTTCCTTGGGGTATTTAGAAAATTAAAGAAAATAGAAGAACTATTCTATGCAATTTAGAGTTAGTTGGAAAGATGAAGTCCAGTGAGCTTATACACAGCTTTGAAATAGTATATCTTTTAGCACTTCACGGTATTTTAAGTTGAAAGGAAAATTATGATGAATAAGAATTTGAATGACTTCAGCTAGTCCATGAAATTTTGGACATATTTTATTCCAAAAGGATTTTGAGACATAAATTAAGCCTAATGTAAAATAAGGCTATTCATGAGGAGAAAGAGGACAGAATGTGTACATTAGAGCTAGCAAAATCCTCTTAAAGATTTTCTAAATGTCGGCCAGGTGCAGTGGCTCACACCTATAATCCCAGCACTTTGGGAGGCCAAGGTGAGTGGATTGCCTGAACCCACGGGTTCGAGACCAGCCAGGGCAACTTGGTGAGACTTCATCTCTACAATAAATCAAAGTGAGCCACTCTACAGCAAATAAAAAAATTAGCCGGGCATGGTGACGCATGCCTGTAGTTCCAGCTACTTGGAAGGCTGAGGCAGAAGGATCGCCTGAGCCCAGCAGGTTGAGGCTGCGGTGGCCACCATTAGCGTGCCACTGCTCTCCAGCCTGGGCAACAGAGTGAGACTCCGGCTCAAAAAGAAAAAAAAATTTTTTTAATGTCAATTTAGAGCAAATGAATAAATGTTCAGTATATTGAACAAACTGTTCCCAAGAGATAGTATGGGTTTAGCAGTACTGATGGGTTACAGGATGATGTGGGCAAATTCATGGATTGTAGGTTTATAAGGAACTTTTCTGGGTACAGTGGTTCACAACTATAATCCTAGCACTTTGAGAGGCCAAGGCAGGAAGATCACTGAGACCAGGAGTTCCAGACCAGCCTAGGCAACATTGCAAGACCCTCACCTCTACAAAAAAATTTTTTATGATGCTAGCCAGACATGATGGTGTAGTCCTAGCCACTTGGGAGTCTGTGGGGGGAGGATCACTTGAGCCCACACATTTAAGGCTACGATGAACCATGATTGTTCCACTACACTTTAACCTGGGTGACAGAGCAAGACCTTTTCTCAAAAAAAAAAAAAAGTTCAAGGTGAGTTTCAGCATTTTGAGGTTGACAAAGACCACTAGTCTCTGTCTTTCTTAGTTAACTAATTGACCTTGAATAGCAGTTATTGTTCTTTTAGTACAGCTTGAATGAAATAAGCAGGGATTATTTTGTGTCTGCTTGAGACTAACTTTTACAATGACCGGCTTCTGAGGAATACAAAATGAAGATTATGTATATAGTGAACTAGGAAATATTAGGTCTTTTTGTTGACATTTATTTTTGTTCCTATTTACCGTGGCTTAGTAATCATTTTTTGTTGTGAAAAAATTTCTTCATTGTAATTCAAGTGTAGGTAATAGGGCTGAATTCTGTAGAAAGGTTTCTTTTTATAACTCATTTAGGCACTTAACTAACTTCAAGAAGAAAGAAAATGATTTCTAAACTGAATCATGCTACGAACTTTCAATATAGTAAAGGTTCATTGCAAGTAACTTGTTGAAGATATTACTAGCACACAACTAATTTAAAAATTATACAAGATGAAGAGTTGATTGTTCATGTTATGAAGAATTAGGATTCCTACTTAGTGGTTCCAGAAATGTTTGTGTAGAGTTAGAGACAACACTAAATTTGTCTCTGGTGTTTAACTTGCTCTCTGTCCTTCAGTTATACCGTTTGGAACGCTATGATGAGTGCCTAGCAGTGTATAGAGATCTCGTCCGAAACTCCCAAGATGATTATGATGAGGAGAGGAAAACAAACCTTTCAGCAGTTGTTGCAGCTCAAAGCAACTGGGAAAAAGTGGTCCCAGTGAGTATCAGCCATGAAGTAATACAGCCATGAAGTAATATCCGTACCTAGTGTTTGACTGGTCTTTTGCTCCGTGACAGGAGAACTTGGGCCTCCAGGAAGGCACGCATGAACTGTGCTACAACGCTGCCTGCGCGCTGATAGGACAAGGGCAGCTGAGCCAGGCAATGAAGATCCTGCAGAAGGCCGAAGGTGGGACGTTTGTTAAAGTGATCTGTGAATATAATGTGAATATAACTTTGCAGACAGAGCATCTTCTAAGATTGCATCTGACTTTTGTGAAGTTGTTAAATGGAAGCTATTGATGCGGTGAGAGTTTCTGAGTTCATCTACTCTTTCTCTTTTTGACTGTCTCTCTCCTCGGTTTCTGTCTAATCCCTAAGCCAGTCCGTTTGCCCATTTTCAGCCACACAAGAGCTTACTGATTGAATTTTGAGGGGTAGGTTTCAAACATGTTACTATGAATGTTATATGTAAATTGCGTTAATTAACGTCAAGCATCTACAATAGTATATAGTATAAAATAAAAGCATTCAGTAAATACCATCCTTGTTGTTAAACAAGTACTCAAGTAATATGTTGTGCCTGTGTTTGTGCTCACAGACACTACATTGATGTATTGATAGCACCATTCAAGCACATGTGTTTTTGTTTGTTTGTTTTCCTTTTAACTTTTTTTTATTTTTTATTTATTTATTTATTTTATTTTTTATTTTTTTTTTGAGTTGGAGTCTCACTCTGTCGCCCAGACTGGAGTGCAGTGGCCGCTTCTGACCACCGCAGCCTCGACCTGCTGGGCTCCAGCGATCCTTCCGCCTCAGCCTTTTGAGTAGCCGGAATTACAGGCACACGCTACCACACCCGGCTGATTTTTTTTTTTTATTAATTGTAGAGATGAGGTCTCGCCTGCCCAGGTGGGTCTCGAACCCGCGGGCTCAGGCAATCCACTCTCCTCAGCCTCTCAAAGGCGCGGGATTACAGGCTGAGTCACCGAGCCTGGCTACTTTTTTTTATTTTTAAAGATGTGGGTTACAATTCTGGCTTAGGTATACAAGTGTTCATTCTGTAGGTACCCTCAAGCACATGTTAACTATACTTAGGATTTTTTTTTGTTTGTTTTTTGTTTTTTTGAGTTGGAGTCTCACTCTATCACCCAGACTGGAGTGCAGTGGGCGCTCCCGGCCACTGCAGCCTTGACCTGCTGGGCTCCGGCGATCCTTCCGCCTCAGCCTTGCAGTAACTGGAACTACAGGCGCACGCTACCACACCGGCTAATTTTTGATTTATTGTAGAGATGAAGTCTCGCCAAGTTGCTCAGGCGGGTCTCGAACCCACGGTCTCAGGCAATCCACTCACCTCAGCCTCCCAAAGCGTGGGATTACAGGCTGAACCACCGAGCCAGTCTTAGGATGTTTCCATATATAATATTTATATGCTTTGAAACTTAATTTTAAAAAGTAATTTATTAGAGAACTTACGTCTCAATTCCTGAAATATTGCGACTTTTCTTCTGCATATTTTTTCCCTGAAAGCTATAAAAGTGATATTGTAGGAACTGCAGTGAATGGTGGAAAGGAGAAAAAGATTAAACAAGGTCTGGTGTTTTTTGTTTTTGTTTTTTGGGGTTTTTTGAGTCAGAATCTTAGTCTGTTGCTCACGCTGAAGTGCAGTAGCATGCTCACAGCCACCACAGCCCCAACCTCAACCTATTGGGCTCAGGTGATCCTTCCACCTCAGCCTTCCAAGTAGCTGGAACCACAGGCATGCACCACCACACCCGGCTAATTTTTTGATTTATTGTAGAGGCAAGGTCTCGCCATGTTGCTCAGGCCGGTCTCGAACTCCTGAGCTCAGGTAATCCTTTTGCCTCAGCCTCCCAAAGTGCTGGGATTACAGACTTGAGCCACTACTCCTAGCACAAGGTCTATTTTACTATTAGGTGTTGAAAGTTAAAATAACAGCAAAGGTTAGAGCTTGATGAGCAGCAAAATCTGTTTAAGAATTATAATTTCTTGATCATACATCGCAGGTTTGAATATAAAAGTAGTACATGCTGTGCAGTGAGCAATTTGGTGATTTGATCCAGCAATTTCAATTTTAGAAATTTATTTTAAGGAAATAGTGAGATAAATTTACATATGTATATATGAATGTTAACTGAAGGGACAACCATAAGAACAAAAAATTTAGAAACAGCATGAGTGTCTGTGCTGTTAAGATGGGCTACATTTTACTATAATCTCAGAGTAGGTTATACAGTCATTAAAACCAATAACAAAAAATAAGACAGTAATGTAGCATCTCTGTTTATTTATTTATTTTTGGAGTTGGAGTCTCACTCTGTCACCCAGGCTGGAGGGCAGTGGCACTCTCCCGGCCACTGCAGCCTCGACCTGCTGGGCTCAGGCGATCTTTCCACCTCAGCCTTCCAAGTAGCTGGAACTACAGGCTTGTGCCACCAGGTCTATCTAATTTTTAATTTATGTTAGAGATGAGGTCTTACCAAGTTGTCCAGGCTAATCTCAAACTCTTGGGCTCAGGCATTCCTCTTAACTCAGCCTCCCAAAATGCTGGGCCTATAGGCGTGAGCCACCGTGTCTGACTATGTTTATTATAAATTAAAGATATCCCCACAACTTCATAATAAAAAATAAATAAATAATTTAAAGTAAAAAAAAAGATATCTACAGGATATTGAATGGCAGAAGTGAAGTTTCAAAATAGGTATACAATGTTTCACTTTCATTTTAAAATGCAACTGTACATTTATATTTTTAAAAATGTAAGCTGGGTATGGTGACTTGTGCCTGCAATTCCAACTATTTAGGAGGCTGATGCAGGAAGATCGCTTGAGCCCAAGAGTTTAAGGCTGCAATGAACTGTGATCACACCACTGCACTCTTAGCCTGAGTAACAGATGAAGATCTTGTCTCTTTGAAAAAAGAAAACTCACATTAAAAAACTAAATAACTGAAATGCTAGCAATATTTATCTCTGGATGGCAGGGTTATTTATTTTTATACTTTTCTAATATCTGATTTTTTATTATCGATGTTTATTATATTTATATATTTTTTAATTCTCTTTAAAAATTGTTTTAGGATAGAGACAATGAATGAAAGAAAATTGCCAGAGAGCTAGAAAAATCAGAGACTGATAATATTTATGTGGTGTATTTGATGCTGATGTAAATTTCAAATTTGTTTGTTTTTATGATTATCTTGGAATCTTCTGCCCAGCAATTTAGTGTTTGTTATTTGGGATAGTGAAAGGAATGGGATTTACTCAGCAGTACTACCGTTAAAACAATTTTTCTTCTATAGATCTTTGCCGCCGTTCGTTATCAGAAGACTCTGTAAGTATTCCACTATTAAACCCAAATGTTGCACATTCGATAGAAATTAATAGGCAGCTTCATTGTACTATTACTGATTTTTAAAGAGGCTAAGGATTCATTAAAGAGGAATCACACTAGAAACTACCCTTTGACCAGTTATTTGGTGAAGTCTATTAAAATGAGAAATCATAATACACAAATTTTTCATACCTTTATCAACTGATCTTAAATTTGTACTATGCAAATTCATTCTACTGTTTTAGTGTGTGGGACTACAGTCTTTGAGTACAGGTCTGCGCATAGTGTTCCATGCATATTTCTTATATAATGCACATGTAATCCAGCATTCCTGATTTCCACTTTTATTTTTTTGTTAAGTACAACAGTGTCATAGAGACACTCAGAAAGCATTTCATTAGGGTACCTGTAGGTGTTAACTTTTACTGTTTTTTGGCTCACAACTAATTACACAGTACTGTTCTTTAGGAACTTGCCTTTGTCAAGTCTTTCTGAGCATTCAACATGATTTACATTGATAAATATCTCATTTCACATTCATAGTTCTTCTCGTAAATATTTAAATTTTATCATTTCTTTTTGTTTTTTTTTTTTGACTTGAAGTCTCACCCTGTCACCCAGACTGGAGTGCAGTGGCCGCTCCCGGCTACTGCAGCCTTGACCTGCTGGGCTCCGGTGATCCCTCCACCTCAGCCTTCCGAGTAGCCAGAATTACAGGCACGTGCTACCACACCTGGCTGATTTTTTTGATTTATGATAGAGATGAGATCTCGCCAAGTTGCCCGGGGGGGTCTTGAACCCTCGGGCTCAGGCAATCCACTCACCTCAGCCTCCCAAAGCGTGGGATTGTAGGCTGAGCCACTGAGCCTGGCTGTTTTACCATTTCTTTTTCTTTTTTTTTTTTGAGTTGGAGTCTCACTCTGTCACCCAGACTGGAGTGCAGTGGCCGCTCCCGGCCACCGCAGCCTCGACCTGCTGGGCTCCGGCGATCCTTCCGCCTCAGCCTTCCAAGTAGCCGGAATTACAGGCATGTGCTACCACGTCCAGCTGATTTTTTGATTTATTGTAGAGATGAGGTCTCGCTGCCCAGGCGGGTCTCAAACCCGCGGGCTCAGGCAATGCACTCACCTCAGCCTCCCAAAGGCGCGGGATTACAGGCTGAGCCACCGAGCCCGGTTACCATTTCTTTATCAAACACAGCTGGCCTAGTGGGTTTGGAAACAAACACATCTGACTCCTGGTCAGCACACACTCACCAAGTGAGAGCAGGAATGCTGGGTTAGTGGGAAAGAGTATTCTTTGTACAGGAGCTTAGTCAGCCTTTTCAGAATGAATGGAGAATATAGACTAATCTGCAGTCACTCCTTTATTACAGAACCAGTTCAGTTATAGAATTAAACTTTATGTTCAGAGTTCCAAATTTTGCTGTTAATTAGAACTTTGTAAGCTTTGTAGTATTGGCATTATGGTAGAATAGAGAGAAAAGCATTTTTGAAATGTGTTCTTATGAGAAAATTATGTTTCCAGAAGTTATGAGAATCATTGTAAAACGTTTACACCTGCATGCTGGTTTTTTACCTTTTTTAAATTTGTGGGCTTTAGAGGATAATAATGATCAGTAAATGGTATTCCTGAACTTAACTGCCATGGTCTTCCAGGCTTTTTGCCATTTTCACTTAAACTTCTCTGTTGGTAGCAGTTCCTACATTTCAAAGAACTTACTGACTCTAAGGGAAAATTCCTGAAATTATATGTCTTCTTTGTAATTCTACATCTTTCAAATGTTTGGATCATTTGGTAAATAGGTCGTTTTGAAAATTTATAACAAAAAAATGTTTATTTTGCTTAGGATGGGACTGAGGAAGACCCACAGGCAGAGCTGGCCATCATTCATGGTCAGATGGCCTATATTCTGCAGCTTCAAGGTCGTACAGAGGAGGCTCTGCAACTTTACAATCAAATAATAAAACTAAAGTGAGTTATTAAAAGGAAGTGTCTTTTATAGGAGGTAGGGGGTTTCTTTTCCTTTTTTTTTTTTTGAGTTGGAGTCTTACTCTGTCACCCAGACAGGAGTGTAGTGGCCACCCCCGGCCACCGCAGCCTCCACCTGCTGGGCTCCAGCGATCCTTCGCCTCAGCCTTCCAAGTAGCTGGAACTACAGGCGTGCGCTACCACACCCGGCTAGTTTTTGATTTACTGTGGAGCTGAGGTCTCACCAAGTTGCCCAGGCTAGTCTCGAACCCGCGGGCTCAGACAATCCATTCACCTCAGTCTCCCAAAGCGTGGGATTACAGGCTGAGCCACCGAGCCCAGCTGGGGTTTCTTTTTAAAGGTTTGTTTGGTTCTGACTGTTGCTTGTTGTTCACAGACCAACAGATGTGGGATTATTAGCTGTAATTGCAAATAACATCATTACCATTAACAAGGTATGGACTACCCATGGCTTTCCTACAGGTATATTTTACCCTGAATGCTGATTCCCCTAGTTTTGTTCTAGGATAGGATAAGTGTTCTTTTTAACATGACAGAAAAAGTTCAGTTATAGCAAAATCACAATGGAGAGTATTATTTAATTCTCATAATGATGATGATTCTGCAATGTATATTTAAGTAATAAAACTTTTTTGTAGTTGCAGACCCTAGACTTTAAAATGCTCCCCTTTCCCAATTTATGATAATACAGAGAATCTCTCTTTGTTAGAGATATAAATTACCGGGGACTTTTTTGAGTCAAGTTCTTATTCTGTCACCCAGGTCGGAGTGCAGTGGCACAATCACGGTTCACCATAGCCTCAACTTCCTGGGCTCAGGTGATTCTTCCACCTCCACTTCCCCAGTAACTGAGACTACAGGGACTTACCACCATGCCTGGCTAATTGTTTAATTTTTTTGTAGAGACAAGGTCTTGCTATGTTGTTTAGGCTGGTCTTGAACATCTGGGCTCTAGCAATCCTCTGGCCTCACTTGTTGTACTTTGTAGGTAGTACATTTTTTACATATTAAAGCTTTGTGGCAACCCTGTGTTGAGCATGTCTATTGATTGGTGTGATTTTTTTCAACAGCATGTGCTCATTCTGTGTCTCTGTCAACATTTTTCAGCAATAAAGTTTTTTTTTCATTAAGATGAGTACTTTTTCTTAGACATGCTATTGTACACTTTTCTACAGTATAGTATAAACCTAACTTTTATATGCACTAGGGAACCATAAAATGTGTAACTAACTTTATTGCAATATTTGCTTTATTGCAATGGTCTGGAACCAAACCCAAAACATCTCCCAGGTATACCCATTCAAAGAAGAATGAATTACTTTCCTCATTTGTCATCTAAACTCTAGAGGACATAGCTTGTAGAAATTGCAAGATTATGTATTTTTGTAGTTCTAATACATTGTAAGATTTGTGGTATTCCTCCTTTTTCCCTTCAAAAAGCTCGAAACAAGTGGTTAATAATGGAAAGATAAACATTTTGATCTCTTTCCCTTCAAAGTATCTCATTTGTTTTTAGAAAGGACTCTCAAAGGTGTGGGGCTAAATCATGGGATTAAAATATGTATGTACACTGGTAGATTTGAATTGCAGAGATTTTGTTTACTTCTGTGATCCCAGAACCCAAGACACATTTATTGCCTCTTATTAGCGTAGTTGCCTAGTTAGACATATATTTAAGCTCTCTTGTTGTGTTTATACAAAATTACCAAATGAAAGAAGAATAAGGCCTGGAGTGTTGAAAGAGATGAAATGTGAGACTCTGTTAATGGTTGTGAAACTTTTCTTTGTTAGGACCAAAATGTCTTTGACTCCAAGAAAAAGGTGAAATTAACCAATGCAGAAGGAGTGGAGTTTAAGCTTTCCAAGAAACAGCTACAAGCTATAGAATTTAACAAAGCTTTACTTGCTATGTACACAAACCAGGTAGGTAATAGACCTTTGGCGTCCTGGCTAACTAAATCTTTTGTAATATGGCATAGGAGGAGTAATAGGGGTTTAGTCCAAACTGTTTGTGTTTTTTGTTTATATTTTGTCTTAAACTCATAAATACATCTTTTTTCTTTCAGAATGTCATATCATAGATTTTCTTTATTAAACAAATAATTTGCTGGATTCCTTGTAAGAGTTTGGGGTTGATAGCTTTTAAGAGGAAGAAAACAGTATTCACAAGTTTAAATAAGATGACTTTCTCATTACCTCATTTCTGATCTCTCTAAATTAAGATAGAATCATCAAAGATGCCAACCATAATTAAAGATTTAAGATCCATCTTTCTTTTTAACTGCATGTAATCACTATAGGTTATAAATGTTAAGGAGATCAATTCTAACTCCAATGTGCATTCTAATTAAATTCTGATTTTATACTCTTAAATCAGAAGTTTTTAGTGGGAGTTTGAGATGCAGTAATGTTTTTAATTATTTCTAATTGAGTCAAGTTATTCTCAGTACTTTAGTGAGAAAACTTATATATTTTGTTGTTTTTGAAACAAATGCTTATATTTGATGTGTTGTGGGTTCTTTTTAAACAATTCTGAAGTTTAGGCATCCAAGTGAACGTTTAGAATTCATCCTTTACTAAAAACGTTTAGAACTCATAGATTAAATTCAGCAAATGGAAATCATTTTCTTACCGAAAAAAAAAAATTGAGGCTACTGTAAACTGATTCTTCACCCCAGGCATTTCTTCACTTACTATTTTGTTTCAACTGATTTTCCCATCCTTTTCTTTTTGGCCTCTTAGTGTTTAATTTCATTAACCAGTTTATTTTTGTTGCGGGATGGCATCGTCTAGGCAGAACAGTGCCGCAAAATATCCACCAGTTTACAGTCTCAAAGTCCTGAGCATCTCCTGCCTGTGTTGATCCAAGCTGCCCAGCTCTGCCGTGAAAAGCAGCACACGAAAGCAATAGAGCTGCTTCAGGTAAAGGAATTGTATGAAGGAGGTGTCAGGCATTTGCAGCCTTGCTTCATTTTCGTTATGCTGTGATAACCTACAAGCATGCAAATTTGATGGGAAAACTAATAGTTAATGTACCACCACACAAATTCCAGTGTCACTTTAGTTAATTTCCAGGTTACAACTTTGTTTTATATTAATTTTCATTGTGTAAATATTTGTCATAAACCATGAAGAAGGCTTTTTTATTTGGAGACCAATTTAACATTAGGTAGGGGGTTGTTTTAGCTCATAATACCAGAACTTACTTAACCTGTATTTCAATAATCTGGTCTCCAGTGAGTCCTACTCCAAAACCTCAAACAATTACAGAGATAGTGACTTCGTTTTTATCAACCCAAGCCAGCTATTACATTACATGTTTGGATTTTCTGTGTGTACACTACCTTAAGAAGCAGGACAAGGCAAAATTAGGACCATCCTGAGAGGCAAAGTTGCCTAGCAGGGATCTTCAGTAAGAAAGCACCATTTATTTTCTTTAAGGGAAAAAAAATCTCTCTAGTAATCTTTATTACAGTTGACCCTTTGTATCCTTGGGCTTTGCATGTGAGGATTCAACCAGTCATGGATTTAAAAGTATTTGAGGGAAGAATTCACGGTTGTATTTGTACTGAACGTTTACAGACTTTTAGAAAATCATTATTTCCTACACAGTACAACAACTATTTACATAACATTGATCTTGTATTAGGTGTTAGAAGTAACCTAGAGATGATTTAAAGTATATAGGAGGATGTGTACGGGTTATATGCAAATCCTAGATATCACTTTATATAAGGGACTTGGAGCATCCTAAGATTTTGGTACAAGGGAGTTCTGGAACCAATATCGCACAGATACCAAGGGATGGCGTATTTCTCTGTTAATGACTTCCAGAAAACTTTACATTATTGCACTTACTTTTAGAGCATGTCTTTAAAAGCAAAGTGGGTGTTGTATAAAATTTTTCCCAAGTGAAGATTTTTACCTGAAACCAAAAATTTAATATTTAAAAACTGGATTTAAAACTTTATGTAGCTGAGTTAAGTAATTGTAACCTATACAGTTGGTTGTGTAAATTAAATGTAATTTTTTCCCTCTGCTTAAAAAAAATAATTTAGGAATTTTCAGATCAGCATCCAGAAAATGCAGCTGAAATAAAACTGACCATGGCACAGCTGAAAATTTCCCAAGGTATTAATGATGATTTTCATCATGATTAAAATATCACTTTATCATATGTTTAAAATGATACTGAAGTTGTCAACTATGTGATTTTAAATTGTTTTCTGTGAAAGAAAAGCATAATAAATATTGTTTCGACCATGAAGCTAGATTGTGTGATCTCCACCGGTTTTAGTATTGAGGTAGTTGGCCCTTTCCTTTGATATTTCTAAATTGTTAGAATGATTCTCAGTTTATGCCTTGAAAGTCAATAGAAGCAAAGAATTTTGCTGTTTCAAAAGACCATACTACTCAAACTTCCTGAGTACGGCACATGTAGAAATGCTCGTGTCTATCCCTTGGTAATATTTGCATGAAATAAGAAAAGGATTGCTTTGCATCTTACTTTGCAGCGTTTCTTAGCTGATCCTTTATCCTTACTTCATTTATATTTTGCACCTATATCTTTGGAGTAGGGGGAAGGTAATGGAATTGAATGAGAACTGATGTGTTTGAGTCTGACAGAGAACTGCCAGTGTTTTTGGCTGTGATTTATGAACCAACTTTGAGTGATTATCTAGAGATGTGTTGTCTGGTATGGTAGTCACTAACCACATGTTGCTATTTTAAGTTTAAATTTAAAATTTGGTTCCTTGGTTGTGCTAGCCTCATTTTAGAACCTTAGTAGCCACATGTGGCTAGAGGACAGCACAGATACAGGACATTTCCATCATCACAGTAAGTTCTGTCCAAAAACTCTGGTCTAGAGCATGCATTTTCTTTTTTTTTTTTTTTTGAGTTGGAGTCTCATTCTGTCGCATACACTAGAGTGCAGTGGCTGCTCCCGACTACCGCAGCCTCGACTGCTGGTCTCCGGCGATCCTTCTGCCTCAGCCTTCTGAGTAGCTGGAACTACAGGCGCACACTACCACGCCCAGCTGATTTTTGATTTATTGTAGAGATGAGGTCTCGCCAAGTTGCCCAGGCGGGTCCCGAACCCGAGGCAATCCACTCACCTCAGCCTCCCAAGGCACGGGATTACAGGCTGAGCCACCGAGCCCGGCTGAGCATGCATTTTCAATGAGAATGACAGTTGGTCCCAAAAAAGTCTTGGGTTGTTACAATGACTGAAATGAAAATTTCATGGGTTGGAGGGAGGGAAGTTGGCAATTAGGAAAACAGTGTTTAGAAAGGCATCTCAGTAGGGCAGTAATGAAAACAGGGTTGAGAACCTGTTGTCTCCCTGTTACCTTTTTATTTTTTTTAAAGATGAGGTCTTGCTCTGTTGCCTGCTGTGTTATTTCTTCACATTCTTCCTTTGTCTCTTTTTCCTTCTCCTGCCCCTCTTTCTTCCTTCCCTTTCTCTCCCATTTGTCTTGTCACACCTGATGTTTAGGGTTGGTTTTTTTTGCTAGGTATATTTATCCTCCTGAAATTACTGAGTCTGTAATGGTTTTCTTGGTGTGTTTTTTTATTTTGAGTCGGGGTCTCACTCTGTTGTCCAGTCTGGAGTGCAGTGGCATGGTCACAGCTCGCTGCCTCCTTGATCTCTTGGCCTCAGGTGATCCTTCTACCTCAGCCTCCCTAGTAGCTGGGACTACAGGAGTACGTGCTCACACACAGCTAATTTTTTAATTTTTTGTTGAGGTGGGGTCTTGCTGTGTTGTCTAGGCTGGTCTTGAATTCCTGGGTTCAAGCAGTCTTCCTGCCTTGGTCTCCCAAAATGCTGGGATTACAGGTGTGTGCCACTGCGCCAGTTTTTTGTTTTTAAAGAATGGAAGGTTTAAGTTATTGAGGTTTACAGTGCGTGGAAAATTGGAATTTTAACACCATACAAAATTTTCCATTGCAATTCATGTCTACAGTAACATATTTTAAGACCTAGGGAAGGACCCCCACTTTCAAGTTACAGTCCGAAATAGAAGAAATAGAACTCATCAGACTGGGACTTGGGAGACTTATTTTCTGCTAGCGGCTCTGCCATTAACTTTCTTTGTGAGCTTAAGCAAGGTATATTATTTCTTTAGAACTCAATTTTATGATCTGTAATATGGATCGAGTTCACTATCCCCAAGAGCTTGTGTGATTAGAGATATTATAAAATATGACCAGTGGTCGCTTTCCTAAAGAATAGTGATGGGAGGAAGTAAAATTTCTTGTATTTTATGCTTTATTCAATGTGATGCTGACTGTGCTTTTAATTTCTTAAGGTAATATTTCTAAAGCATGTCTAATATTGAGAAGCATAGAGGAATTAAAGCATAAACCAGGCATGGTAAGTTTATAAATAAAACATTACAATACTGAAAAGTAATAGTATTGATAGCTTTTATTGTATGTCTGATGTGTAGTCACTTTAATTTCTCCTTTTCTTATATGTCAAAGGTAGCAGGAGTAGTTAACCCTTTGCACTCAGAGACAGCTCACGGATCATCTACCAGCAACTCGACTGCACTTTTTTTTGTGAAAAATCACTTCATATTTAGTAGTATAGTGTTGGAACCATTTGTTTTGATAATCATATTTGGCTTATAATGGAATTTTGGACATTGAGGAACTTATTTATGATGAATAAAAACCTAAATTTTATATCTTATATTTTTCTTTCTTTTTTTTTTTTGAGTCAGAGTCTCATTCTGTTGCCCAAGCTAGAGTGTAGTGGCACACTCACGGCTACCACAGCCTCGACCTGCTGGGCTCCAGCAATCTTTCCGTCTCAGCCTTCCAAGTAGCTGGAAGTACAGGCACATGATACCACGCCTGGCTTATTATTATTATTATTATTTGATTTAATGTAGAGATGAGGTCTCACCAAGTTGCCCAGGCTGGTCTTGAACCCCTGAGCAGTCCTCTCGCCTTGGCCTCCCAAAGTGCTGGGGTTACAGGCTTGAGCCACTGCACCCAGCTGTATCTTATATTTTTCTAAACTGCCCGACATGCATTGCAGGTACATCGATATATGTTGTGCAGTAGTAGTAACTTGTTTGATGTCTTCCACCCGGTGTTTTTCTATCTGAGCAGACAATGCAGCCTCATTTTCTTCCTCCCACATTACTAATATGTTATTTGAAGACAGTATGGAAAGACGCACTCATGATTCCTGAAAACCACTTCTCAACTGATGGCTCAGAAGCTTGACAAAATTCAAATGGGACATACATAGGTTTTTCTTTTTTTTTGGTTGCTCAGTACAGCATATAGGAGTTAATAATGCATATTGCTAGTCCCCACAATAATAATTTCCTCCACCATCTTAAAGATTTTCACAAAAAACAACATGTAGAAGCATATCGGTCCTCACAATCCACACCAGTCTTATTTACCAGATAACTTGGAATCATTTCAGGCTTTTTGACTGTTGTAATAGTTCTGCCATGTAATGTCCTTGTGGTAGATTTCATTCCTTCGTGATTCCAATGCTGACAATTGTAACTCTCCTTTTGTTCTTCCACACAAGAAGCATGAGATTATTTTTCCTATATGCTACTGTTTTTTTGTTAAAGACTTTGACTTTTGGATTTGTGCTGGCATTCCCTTTCAGTTGATTTTGGTTATACCAGTAAGATGATATTTCGTATTCAGTAGCTCTTCTGCTAGGACAATACTAGTGTAAAATCTATTAATAAACATGGGTATCCTGCTGCATTGGGAACTTGTTGGCACTGCTGTGAAAGCACTTCACACATTTTTTTCTTTCTACATAATGCCAGCCAATATTTTTACATATATCTCAGTGTATATTCTGTCTCTTTTTACTTTTTTATGCAGTTTGAAGGGAAAACTTCAAGGTAATACACATTTTTGAAAATTTGCTCTCGCATAAGTTTGTCCTATATAATCATCAGCAAGCTGTTTATGTTTCCTAAAGGGGTACATACAAGTGGTTTGTGAGGTTTATATGTCCCCTCAGAGGGACATCCACGTGCAAAGGGTTAAACTAATAACAGCTGTCCGGTGTAAGTTTAATTTCCTTCTGTGCTCTTCTGTGTAGTTTATTAGTTAGTCAAATGTGCCAGGCACTGTTTAGGCCTTATATTATTACTGAAAGCCAACCTCAGATAATCTCAGATCTGCATAGGGAATTTCTTACCCTAAACTGTTTTGTCATGTCATCAATGTGATTTCTTTGAGTTAAAATAATTTAGTAAGCCAGGCTTGGTGGCTCAGCCTGTAATCCCGTGCCTTTGGGAGGCTGAGGGAGTGGATTGCCTGAGCCCGCGGGTTCGAGACCCGCCTGGGCAGCGAGACCTCATTTCTACAATAAATCAAAAAATCAGCCGGGCGTGGTAGCGCATGCCTGTAATTCCGGCTACTTGGAAGGCTGAGGTGGAAGGATCGCCGGAGCCCAGCAGGTCGAGGCTGCAGTGGCCAGCAGCAGCCACTGCACTCCAGTCTGGGCGACAGAGTGAGACTCCAACTCAAAAAATAAATAAATAAAACTACTACTAATAATTTAGTAATAGTGACCAAAAAATTTAGTTTTCAGTTCTCTGATTATTCAATTATCACAGGTTTAGATCACTCATATACCTGTGATAGCAGCTGTTCCATAGAAGAAACGAATTCAGCAATGGTAGTATGTGCATACTGAATGGACTCTGTGTTTGTACTCTCTAAAACAGCTTGTTTGCAGGTGGCACCTAGTAATAATATGATAGTGCTTTCTCTTGAAGATTCATATTTTAAGGATTGTGGTACAATTGCTTTATCTTAGAATCAAATGTGGTATATGGCTGAAAAGAAAATGTTTCTAATATTTACTATCTAACCTTTTACTTTTCAAGGAATTTATCCATTTCATCTGGGTTGCTGAATTTGTTTGCTTAAAAGTTGTTCATAATATGTCCTTGTTATCCTTTTTTTTTTTTGAGTCAAAGTTTCACTCTGTTGCCCAGGCTGGAGTGCAGTAGCTGTTTCTGACCACCGCAGACTTGACCTGCGGGGCTCCGGCGATTCTTCTGCCTCAGCCTTCCAAGTAGCTGGAACTACAGCGTGCGCTACCACGCCCAGCTAGTTTTTGATTTATTATAGAGACGAGGTCTCACCAAGTTGCCCGGGCGGGTCTCAAACACGCGGGCTCAGGCAATCCTCTCACCTCGGCTTCCCAAAGTGCTGGGATTACAGGCTGAGCCACGGAACCCAGCCCTTTGTTATCCTTTTAATATCTGGACAACTGCTCTCATTCCTGACATTGGTTATTCATGTCTTTTGTTTTCCTTTTTTCTGACTAGTCTGACCAAAGGCTTATCACTTTTCATTGATTTTTCCTTTTTTTTTGAATCAGAGTCTCACTCTGTCGCCCAGACTGGAGTGCAGTGGCTGCTCCCGGCCACCGCATCCTCGACCTGCTGGGCTCCAGCGATCCTTCCACCTCAGCCTTCCATGTAGCTGGAACTACAGGCACGCGCTATCACGCTCAGCTGATTTTTTAAAATTTTATTTATTGTAGAGACGAGGTCTCGCCAAGTTGCCCAGGCGGGTCTCGAACCTACGGGCTC